GCCAACCCCCGTCCCTTTGTGAGAGGGAACGGACCACCGACAGTGCGCGGGTTACTACCACGCGCGATACGCGTCTTTTGTTCGCCGGTTGGTTAAATGATGCATCGGCCGTTGCACAATCGACGGGCAGACACGCGAACCGCGTTTACACACGGTAAAAGTCAGACAGCCCCGGCGTATTTTTCCTTCTCTTCGTCACTTTATCAGAAATTTGACTTTATCGCCTCGATACGAGTGCGATTCAGCGAAATTCTTTGTCGAGGATCTCCTCTTCCCCCTGTCTCCGCCGCTCGCGCGTAACGGAAACTAGCGCGAATTTTCGCGAAAGAATAGAGAGAAAGAGGAACGCACCTCGACGTTTCGATTAATCGGAAAAGGTTCGCTCACGCGTCGTCCGTTCGATCAACGAGAAACATCAATCGGTCGAGTTGTTATTTTATAGGGCATTTTTCCACACGGCAAAAGGAACGTAACCATCGCGAGGAAATAAATGTCGCAACGGAAAACAGTCCGGCAAACGGCTGCCTTACGTTTTCACATTGCAAGTATATTCAGATCAGTAAGCTTCCTTAGGTAAAAAGAGTAATTAAATTGCAGATTCGTACAATGTATATATGTGTCGCGGGATCTCTGTTAATTCGATTATTTTGTAAGAAGCCCGACTTTTTTAAGATACGATAAACGTTCCGATTATTGACAATGTTCCAATTTATAAAAATGGCATCCGTTCTTCACAATAAGTCAAATAATATAGTTTAAACTGTCGGAAGCGTCTCAAAAATTGTGACGCTGAACACCCGTGTACATCGATTTCCTTCTTCTTGCTCTCTGTTACATTTCTCTTCTCATTTCACCTCCCTTATCTTCAAATAACTCGTTAAACGCTCCGGATTAATGGGGTGAAACTCAAATTGGACTGTTATTGACAAAAATATCAGGTAAACAATCAGGGAAATTTAATCGTTCGAAGTACGCGCGGCGACCTCCTCCTTCTCTCTCTCTCTCTCTCTCTCTCTCTCTCTAATCGTTTAAAGCGTTAATTATTATCGCGCGTCCGAACGCGTGTAGCACGTTTAAATCGGCCGCGATCCTTGCAAACTTTAAACAAGCCGCATTTAACGCCTCAGATACGAGGCGAGAATGCGAGCCGACGAGTTTCCCCGCAGACGTATCAGTTTTATCAAGATCTCAAAACTTCACCTATGGTGTGTGCGCGAGGTCGCGAGATAAGCGTGTCGCATAAGCGCCGCGCTGGGAAATTCAAGCTCCCATCGCGAGAGAGAGAAAGAGAGAGAGAGAGGAGGGGGGGAGTTGAGAACGCTTTCGATAAGCTTTCCGGTTAGTTCTCAAGTTTTCGATTAGTTTTTCGGTTACGCGGCCCGCGATTTCCCGCGGATATAAGCGTTCGTTGTATCCGCGGGATATAGATTATCGGATATTTACCGCGGAGTCACCGTACAGAGGGTAGGAGGAGGGCGAGGGATCCCAGCGCCGTCGAGGAAATGCGAGTCTACCTGCCGGGACGGCTTTTATTCGCGCGCACCACCTCGCGACTTGTATGGTTTTGCCTCGAGAGTTGCACCGTGTGAAATTGAATTTCAATCTCTCCCCCGGAGCGGCGACTACTACTTTCGTCGGCGGGAGAATTGGTGAGGTGGCGGCGGCCAGAATGCATTCGGCGTGTCTCATTTTATTGTTCGTAACGGCATTCGCCGCAGCGCGAGAAAAGTCTCGCTGCATAAACGAGAAAAAGAGAGAGAGACCGCCGGTTATTTTGCGCTCGTTAAATCTGCAGGCCACTCGACCAGCCGGATATCCGCTCCGGCCGACGTATCCTCCGACGACGAAGGTTCGGAATTTTCTTTTCGGCAGCGGCCCGACGGAAGACCAACCGTCGCGTCTCGAATCTAATATTTTTCAATTAAATTTTCATTCGATTTCAACCTAATTTGAAATATTGCCTCAGCGCGACTTAATACAATGAAAAAAAAATCGTAAGAATCGAAAAGTGGGACGTAAAAAAAAATCGTTCCTTCACTTTCCTCACGCATTTCTCGTACTACAGATTTATGATTCGAATACAATTTGTAGCGTTAAATCTAGCAACGCAACAAATCAGCGCAACCGTCTGAAATGAGTTAATTCGAAAAGCGGAGGGTTAAAATTTCGTTCAGGTGAATTTCGCCCGACCACATTACAGCCCGGTGTACCGGTAAATCTCCCGCGTCCGTTCAGCATCGCAAGATATTACCGTCCGGATTATTTTAATATATATTTAGGGATAATTGGAACGAATGCTCTATAATAGCCCCCAGTACGCGCGCCAACGACTAAATGAGTGACTAAATGAGTGAGCCCGACTGGATGGCCAGCTCTCTTCTTCGCATACAGACCTAACGCGTAACAAGCGAGCATCGTAAGACGCGATCATTCTTCGGGCAATTAGATACCGGACGGCCGCCCAAAAGGAAAATTCAAGGGGGGAGAGATGTACGCTATGTCAAAGTTAAGCCCGGAACGGTGGATTACGTGTACTCGCGAGAAGACGTAGTTAAGCCCCCCACGCTAGGCACTGATATACTAATTGAATTAGTTATTTCGAAGCAGAAAGTTAAGGGCACGTCTGCGCGCGCGCACCCCAAGTTTTCAACATGAAATAGCTGGCAGAATCGACGTGCTAGCACGCCGAGTTCGAAAGTTCTTATTAACCCCGGAAGTTTCGTTCAGTATCGCGCCTGAGTGTTATTTAATTACTAATTCGAAGAATATGTGGCCCCCTCGTCCCTTTTATGAGCGAAAGAGAGAGAACTTTTCCCCGATTAATTTCGTCGTTGGCCCCCCTGCATTCCCCCCTTCCGCTCCTCCTCCCCTCCAGGAGGGCTCGGCATCGATTATTAATAACAGATCCTGGAAAGCGCGATACTTCAGGGGGTACGGCCGTAATTCTCGTTCAGATGGTCGTTCTCCCTCTCTCCGTCGCAGAGGACTCCGCTCTGTCCGTTTTAATTACCGCAGTCGCTTCTATCAATTTTTCGCGTTTATTTAGGAACTCTTACTTTATTTACGAGCCCGGCCCGAAGTGCCCGTCTCACGCGTCTCATAAAATGCTCACTTTCACGGCGCTTGACGAGCGGATGAATAATTATGATCTCACGACAGTTAGAGCGGCGCGATCCCTCCGCTCTCTCTCTCTCTCTCTCTCTCTCTCTGCGCAGTGATCTCTAATTTGCGAACGATAGCACAGCGAGCTGTAAAAAAACGAATCAACGATTTATCTCATCGGAAGCGAAATCCCGCTCTACTCTCGCGGAACTTTTTAATCCGCCACTCTCCGGAAGAGGGAAAGAGCGAGCGAGCGAGCGCGCTTATTATCCTTCTTCTACGGCAAATGGCAGCGTCGACGCGCGCGGTCAACGTAATATTAAAATAATTTATACACACACACACAAAGAGCGCGTGTCCCGTCTCCGGGCTAACGGCGTGTTAAAATTCATAACGATAAGTTCTTTGACGGATTGTAAGTCGATTTTAATGAGGGCGAGCGGCTGCTGCTATTTTCAACGCGTCGTCGTGCATTTTGCACGACAGGAACAGGGTTGAACGGGGTGAAATCTCCGTCGGAATAAAGTGTTTGCTTCTCCCGCCTGGAAAATTAATCGGTGAAGTAAGGTTTCGCCGCTTATCATTATACCTCCCGGAGAAACTTAATCCCCGGTAATTTAATTTTAATGTCAAATAATCTCCGTAATTAAGCCTCGCCGTTCATATTTTTGCCGGGAGAAGACGTCGGCTTACGTGACTCGTACGGGAGAGGAGAAGAAAAATAGAGACAGAGAGAGAGAGAGAGAGAGAGAGAAGCTGGTTTCTCGATGTGTTCAATAGGAAAGGGATTCGGATCGACGGGAAAACGTTATTAATCCCGAGTAAACCTGCGTGCGCCGTAAACTCATTTGGCGAGAGAAATTTCTAACATTCGGAAAGTACAGCGCGAAATGTATGGCGGATCGCGCGTAAAAAGAGAAAGACAGAAAGAGTGAAAGAGTGAGTGGGAAAGAGAGAGGGAGCTAATAGCATGCCAGTCTAGTGGTTGGGTCATTCCACTTGCACGGATTGCAACATAGGTTTACAGAGTACTAGCGCGATACCGGTGGCGGTCTTGCCTTGCGCTACTGGAGATATAAGCCGCTTTATGTTCTCCTGTCGTATCTACAGCAATAGTGACATTGTCGCGCTAGGTTAGTAACGACGCGGAGATAGCGCGGAGCCGACTTGTGAATTAAAGCGGATATCTCATGCACGACGTTTTTATCGATCGGAACCGATTTTGCCGGTGCAAAAACACGTCCATAATTGACCGGCAAATTTGCCCTCGTCGTCGTCTCGTCGCGAATCTGTCTATCTCTCTCTCTCTCTCTCTCTCTCTCTATTCGTATCTCGCCGTCATAAATAAAATTATTGTACCTTTGAACGGTACTGTACAAGAAATGTTGCTGAAAAAATACGAAAATTATATTCTATAGAAAAATTTTGTTCTTTAGAAATAATTAAATTTCGCCACATTTCGAAAAGTTTGAGGAAAAAAAGTAAATCTCATACGAAAACACGCGGTGTGCCCTTTTTATAGAAATTTATAAACAGCAAAAAAACATATATATATATATATATAATTGTGGATCTTCCTGGTGGTGTATTCTTACAGTATTTAATGGTCCAACGTGTGTTGAATTCTTTAATTTCTCTCTAAGAGAAATTCAATTTCCCTCTGCGAAAATTCTCACGTATCGGGAGGGGGG